GTGTTGGGTTTCATTGTTTTGTTTTTGATTATATATGTCTGATGTTCTGCCCTTTGGTATAACTCTATTACGGAGGTTATATCAGAGACCGCCTCCTCCCGTATAATCCTCCCTGCGCGCTCTGGTCCTCTGGGAGGAATTTCTTAGAGTCCCAAAGATCGAGGCTATCTGCGACCTCCCAGAGGGCCTTCTCTGTTGTCGCCCGCAGGCTCTGGAATGGCCTGCCGGATGAGATCCATCAATTAACATCTTTGGACAGTTTCAAAAAGGCTGTCGAGAGGGATCTCTTCCGGCAGGCCTTTCCAGACTAAATTGTCCCAGCCCCAGGCTGTCCCCTCTCCCCTCAGTGACACTATTCTGAACCCTGGTTTCTTGGAAGTGCAACAATGGGGTACTCTGAAATGTTTTTTTAATCATTTTAATTGTTAAGATTTTATCCTGTTTTAATTTGCTAACTGGATTTTAACCATGTTATTGTTTAATAATGTTTTAAAGGGGGGGAATGCTGTCTATTGTAATTGTGTTTTATGTTGTAAACTGCCCAGATTGGGCAACCATTGGGCAGTATATAAATAAATTTATTATTATTATTATTATTATTATTATTATTATTATTATTATTATTATTATTTGGTGAAAATGGCATTATAAAACATTATTATTATTATTATTATTATTATTATTATTACCACCAGATTAATTAAGGGAATACAGACTGAGGAATATTCTTTATCTGAATGGAAAATCTACATTGAATCACATTATGGCTGGCATCCTGTTAGTGATTTAAGCATGCCTATGTTCCCCTACAGAAAAGATTGAACATTTTTTCATTGTCAAATACCGAAGTCCATATTCAATGGAAGGTTATGGAAGCAGAGTTGTGCGTTTGGTGCCATTGTACATTGCATTTGCATTGCAGATATGATTACACATTGTGCGTGCAGGCATGCACTGAAGATCGCAATCATGCGTTTCACATCTGTTTGCACATTCACTTGGGCTATGTTGCTATTTGGTAATGCACAGCTGTCGTATGAGTCTGTGAGTGTAAAGTTGCAATCTGTCCTTTTGATGTAAGACCTCAGATAATATTTTTGAATAGCAGGTGCTTGAAGAAATGCTAGGGAAGGGGTTTTGCATGTGAAAGATCTCTTTTGTATAGGAATGTATCTTATATAACTCACATTATTTGCAGGCTGATAAAAACAGGATGCTTTTTGCTGGAATATCAGGGAAAAGGGAAATAAATGGGGATGTTTAAACACATTTATTGAGATCCCACATCAAGGACATGGAGTATAACGTTACACTCACAGAGTTATGTGCTTATGTGTTAAATGAATTGCGATTTATAGACAAAGTTATTAGATATATAGTTTATTTGGTTCAAGTATACATGGATTTGTTTGCTGTACTACTTCGTGTAAATAAGCTATGAAGGGAATATTTGTTCAGGACATAAGTGTCATTAATGCTTTCTTTCAGAAGATAAGTGTTCAGTGATAGGGAAAAATACAATGCATTAAAAGCAACTGAGTCGAAGCTCAGGAAGTACTTTCTTTTTCTCTGCGACATTTAGGTCCTTTTCTGATATTAGTTTGTATTAGAAAGCTTGTTTTTGTTTTTCTTTTCTTCTTTTTTCCTTTTTTTTATATGTATATATGCATATGTATATGTATGTGTATGTACTGTATGGCCTGTGAGTGTTTTTTTTTTATAATATCAATTAAATTAAAAAAAAAATGAATTGCAACACTGCTTTACTGCTTTACTGAATGTGTGAAGAATGAAATGCCTGATTGCAATGCCCAAGGCACTTCTGCATCTGCAATGCGCATTGGCACTACTCTGCTTCCAGAAAGCCTGAACTGAATGCAGACTTCTTAATCAGACAAAAATGTCCAGCGGCTTCTGCAGGGGAACTCACACAAGTATAAGACACTAACAAGATAACCACCAGAGTTCTGCAATAATCCATATTAATAAACATAAATGCAGCATGATCCAATGATTAAACTCTGTCTTTTGGTTGCTGGAAAAGCAATGCTAGATTAGACCAAATAAACAAGCAGCACTCTCCTTTCTCAGCTCTGGGCCAAAGTGATCTGAATCCTAGCTCTGCAGAAAGGAGACCCACTCCAACTCCTTTACATTTTGGGATGGCTTTGGGGGCATTTGCTTGCTTGCAACAATATCCTGTGCCTAACATCTCCCCGTTCCCACCACCATTCAACTGGGCATTCAGCGGTTTTGAACATCTGTCTTTCTGCCAAGCATCAATGTCTAATAGGGCCATTGTTTGCATGTGTCCCAAAGATGGAAGCGATTACCATAAAACATGTAAATGGATTATGTCAGAACTTCTCCTCCCCAGCTCAGCGCAGTTAAAGAGGCCTTTCTGTTTTGCATTATGGAATTACAGTATGTTCTCTAATGGCTTGGCACCGGAACCAGGATCTGAGGTCGCCTTCCCTGGTGTTGGAGATCAAGGGGACCCAGCATTATGGAGCTTAAGTGTGACCAGCTGCTGGGCTGTCTTTGCTTTCTCTTCATTGCATACAATGGCCTCCCCAGGCCAGGTTGCTGGATTTCAACGCTCCTTTATTTATTTAATTTATATTCTGGTTTTCTTCCACATGAGACCCAAAGCAGATTGTGCCATACAATAAAACAATATTGCTAAAACTGTTTGAATTACAAAATATTAAAAAGCATTACACACAATCCCCTTTAAAACATTAATCCAAAACAGTTGAAAGCATGTTCAAATCTCTGACACATTAAGAACCAACACAGTGAGACACAGAACATCCTACCAGTTAAAAGCTGAAGGCCTGTTTTAATAAGAATTTCTGCTTGCTGGAGAAAAGAGAGCAGTGAGGACACCAACTGAGCCTCCCTTGGTCGAGACTTCTTTCCATAACCTGGGAGCAGCCACCAAGAAGACCCTGTGTTCCATGTCTACGCCATACATGCCTGTGGTGGAGGTGGGACTGAGAGAAAGCCTGAAGATCTTAAAACTTGGATAGGTTCATAAAAGGAAACAGCCTGGACCTAAGCAGTATAGGGCTTTGTTGGTGATAAACAGCACTTTGAATTCTGCCCAGAAATGGACCGGTGGCCACTAAAGCTGTTTAAGCGTGGGAGTTGCAGCCACAATGTTGTTAGTTGGATGCCAAGGCTCCAGGGTCGACTCGGCCTTCCATCCTTTCGTAGGTCAGTAAAATGAGTACCCGGCTTATTGGGGGCAACTGGCTTACAGATTATAAACTGCTTAAAGAGTGCTGAGTTCACTAGGAAGCGGTACAGAAATGTAAATGCTATTGCTATAATCAGCCCTGAAACATTTTGGCTCAGTCTGCTGGGAGTGGCTACACCACCACTCACCTAAACAAAAGATGCTTGACAAAAATACAGCTATTAAACCCGCCCAAAAAAACAACACCCCTGGCTGCCCAGCCAAGAATGACAGGAGTTGTAGTTCTCAGTTCGAGGAAGGATGCACCATCGGGCCTAGACTAAGAAGAAGAGCCCTCCCTCCATTCCATC